TATGATTTCTCGGTCACCCCCTTCACCATCCCACCCAAACCCTTCTCCACATGGTATGATTTCTCGGTCACCCCCTTCACCATCCCACCCAAACCCTTCTCCACATGATATGATTTCTCGGTCACCCCCTTCACCATCCCACCCAAACCCTTCTCCACATGATATGATTTCTCGGTCACCCCCTTCACCATCCCACCCAAACCCTTCGCCACATGGTATGATATTTCTATAATCCACATCCCCTTGATTGGGTATGAATTCTCTGTCAAACCTGTAGGTATGATTTTTCTGCATTGTTTTCCTGTAATATTAAGTAAATAATACCCTCGCCGTGACACCTTTCCATCACAAAGACTATTCAATTTTCGTTTGTCTGGGTCTGAAGATGACTGCTGAAAATTTAGCCAATTTGATCCTTTTGGACCCTACTCTGCAAGCCCCATGGATGATTCAGGTTTTAAATTTCATACTATCAAACTGTTATCATAATGAAATGAAATTATGATGAACCACCTAAGGACCTTTTCATCCATGATAGATTTATTTTTCTAGTGTAATTGGGTGTAAAGAAGAAGACTTAAAATTTAACCTAATTTGCCCCATTTTGATTCCACCCTCAGGCGTCTGGGAGGTCAGATCCTGCTATAACAATATTTTAGATAATGAAACATGCAAAACTTCCTACCAAGGGTAAATAAAACTTTCTTACAGAATTTGACAAGAAGGATGACGGAGAGAAGGACAGATGACGGATTAAGGGTGATTAGAACAGCCAACCATCATCAGATGGTGGCAGGCTGGCTTGAACTCTGATCTAAGAATCTTGGATAGCAGCCATTTTGGGGAATGGCTATGGCAATGGTGGGTAAGATTTTTGTGAGGAAGATTTTGGAATGACTGGAAATCAGTTTAGAATAGAAATCAGTAACATCTCTAAAAGGCAATCTGCTGCCTGGGTAAAGTCTGCTTGAGGATAAATAGGGTGCAAATGTAACAAGTGAACTTGGTATATTGTATTGGAAGACCTTAAGTAAATTGACCTATTTCTAACTACCTGTACTTGAATTTTTCGAATTCATAAGAAGTAGAAACAAGAGGCCCATGGGCCTTAACGGTCACCTGAGTCTACAGTATTTTTTTTTTGTTGAAATATGTACCAATTTGAGTAAAAAATAGTATAATGTTAACTTAACTTTGTCAGGACCATGAGCTGATCATTCCTAGACCAATTTTAAGTGAGATCGGCCTATTAGAATTTAGTAGCAAAATAGCGGCCATGGCAGCCAAATTGTATTTCTGATTGACCCGAAAAATAACAACACTTTGTCAGGACCATGAGGCGATCATTCCTACCAACTTTCAGTTCAATCGGCCCAGCAGAACTTGACTTTAAGTTTGAAATGTAAAATGTTAACGGACGACGGACGACGGACGACGACGGACGAAAACGGATAGCAATAGGTCACTTGAGCTAAAGCTCAGGTGACCTAAAAATAGGAAACCTCAATCATAGCAACTGAGTTGACAAATATGTCCCTCGGAAACATAGTTTTCCATAATTGTTATGAATTATCTTATTCATGATCATGCAACTTCAAAAAATTCTTAAAACAACATAATCTGTCACATCTGAGGAACTAGTACATGTACAAATCACTCAATCTAGGTTACAATTATTTCACACTTTCATAAGACCAATACCTTCATCTTCATAATCTGTGAATAATAATTTAAATGCAATTTATTATTTTAATGATGGTGCAACATATTCACCAGGAGGTTAGACAAGGATATTGACAGTATCAGACATCCTCCTTAGACAATTGAGACAGTATTTCCTCATCACCCAGGGTCAGTCCTGTGACATCTGAATCAGATACCTTATATAACCAGCAGCCAATGTCCTGGGGAAGCATCAGAACCTGTTACATATCACTGTCATCCATTTTACTGCAATCTTTTGTTATCATTCAAATGTCACAGCAGTAAAGCACCAACAAATCCGTGTAAGCATCAGGAAGTGGATTTTCTGCATATCCTCTAGATTGCCTGTATGTATCAGAAAACACAGACTGTCTGCATATCCAAAACGAAGATATGGTGTCGCACATCCCAATGGACCAGACTTGAGGTCTTCAAAACAAGAGTGTGAATCAGTATCCACCACAACTTGGACACATGTAGAATTCAAGTCACAATAGCGAAATCACACATGTCACTTGCGGGAGCGCTTGGCTGCACTCGGATGGCTGAGTGTGAGTGCCCCGGGACTACTGTCCAGTGGAGCACTTAACTGGAGCACCTGTAACGACACAGAAACGTCACACACATGAATATCATACAGGACATTTCAACAGTTTTAAGGCCAATAAAAAATATACAGAAACAAGAGTAAGGAAAAGGCGATATATGCCTGTCAGATGCCATGCAGCACTTATTGACAACTGAGTAAGGAAAGGGCGATATATGCCTGTCAGATGCCATGCAGCACTTATTGACAACTGAGTAAGGAAAGGGCGATATATGCCTGTCAGATGCCATGCAGCACTTATTGACAACTGAGTAAGGAAAGGGCGATATATGCCTGTCAGATGCCATGCAGCACTTATTGACAACTGAGTAAGGAAAGGGCGATATATGCCTGTCAGATGCCATGCAGCACTTATTGACAACTGAGTAAGGAAAGGGCGATATATGCCTGTCAGATGCCATGCAGCACTTATTGACAACTGAGACTTATTGTGTAACAGAGTAGTACAAGCAACCTTTCTGAAACATTCTTGTTAAAAAATGTATTAAGCGTTAATTATGATGTATAACTTGTAACAAGAGGCCCAATAGGCCTGCATCACTCACCTGCTCTTAATCTGACACTTGTAACCTTAAAGGTGGATACATGAGTGAATGGCCTAAATAAAACTGTAGAACTATTACCCTTGACAATAACCTGTTACAAGATTTTCACACATTTAACCCTTGTGACATTGAACATTTATGAAGGTAATTCATTTAATGAACTCAATAGCCATAGCATTAGCAAGTTTTGTGAAATCAGGTGAAATAGAAAGGAAATTTTGCTCTGGATAAACTTTAATATAAACGAAGGGTCCTTACACTGTGTATATTTGTGACATTTCGCCTTCCCAAGACTCATCTGTTATCGTCATAGAACAGTAATAAATGTTAACAAAATTACACATTAACGTTGGTGTCTGCTATAATTTTGGATGGCAATGAAAAGTATGGCATATTTTAAATATCCCCTTTTACCTACAATAGTTTTACAAATTGACGACACTGTGTCTTCCTTATGCAAGCAAGGTTGATGAAAAACAATAACAGACACACAGATTTATCCCGACAAAATACATAAAATATATGAAATATATATATATACAGGATTTACAATCTTTGATAGTCATCTCGTAATTTAAAGATACCTGATTTTAAATTGTAATTGCATCCTAGTTCATAGTTAATTTTTACTTCGAAACAATATTTTTGTGGTTGATTTTACCTATATCTATTTTGTACTCCTATTGTTTAACTGTCATTGAGTTCACTACCTTTGTTGGGGGTTGTTATACATGTCAATAGTTTTTTGTGGAAACAAATATTTTCTCCCTCGAAAACTCTTAGGGTTATGACCTGGTGTTTTTTCAAGCCTATTTTGAACAAGTCAGCGAATTCTGTGTCATCTTCTATACATGCTAATGTTGGTAATCTTAATTCACATAAACATTTGGTATAAGATAAATTAAAAAAGTCCTGGTACTTGTTTTGTTGCATCGCTGTTAAGATTTTTTTTCCAATGGTGTTACCCATTTTTCTAAACGAGGGCACCAGACTTCCTATATTCCATTGTTCTCCGCAGTACTCCATACTGGAGTTTGCTTTAGTAATCTTTGTGCATAGATGTTTATCATATGTTAGTTAATCGTCTATGGTGATTCCAATATCCTTTTCCTTATTATATATGAATCTTTGTTTGTGTTTCTCACAAGCATCATTTTGCCAAATTTTGACCATTTTTGTAGTGAAAATGTATCCTGCTGGAGCTCTGCACAGTCTTGTTTTCATTTTTGCATTGAACGCTTTTGTGTCATCAGCAAAAAGTATCCTCTCCCGTGCTTGTTACAGTTGGTATCCTCTCCCGTGCTTGTTACAGTTGGTATCCTCTCCCGTGCTTGTTACAGTTGGTATCCTCTCCCGTGCTTGTTACAGTTGGTATCCTCTCCCGTGCTTGTTACAGTTGGTATCCTCTCCCGTGCTTGTTACAGTTGGTATCCTCTCCCGTGCTTGTTACAGTTGGTATCCTCTCCCGTGCTTGTTACAGTTGGTATCCTCTCCCGTGCTTGTTACAGTTGGTATCCTCTCCCGTGCTTGTTACAGTTGGTATCCTCTCCCGTGCTTGTTACAGTTGGTATCCTCTCCCGTGCTTGTTACAGTTGGTATCCTCTCCCGTGCTTGTTACAGTTGGTATCCTCTCCCGTGCTTGTTACAGTTGGTATCCTCTCCCGTGCTTGTTACAGTTGGTATCCTCTCCCGTGCTTGTTACAGTTGGTATCCTCTCCCGTGCTTGTTACAGTTGGTATCCTCTCCCGTGCTTGTTACAGTTGGTATCCTCTCCCGTGCTTGTTACAGTTGGTATCCTCTCCCGTGCTTGTTACAGTTGGTATCCTCTCCCGTGCTTGTTACAGTTGGTATCCTCTCCCGTGCTTGTTACAGTTGGTATCCTCTCCCGTGCTTGTTACAGTTGGTATCCTCTCCCGTGCTTGTTACAGTTGGTATCCTCTCCCGTGCTTGTTACAGTTGGTATCCTCTCCCGTGCTTGTTACAGTTGGTATCCTCTCCCGTGCTTGTTACAGTTGGTATCCTCTCCCGTGCTTGTTACAGTTGGTATCCTCTCCCGTGCTTGTTACAGTTGGTATCCTCTCCCGTGCTTGTTACAGTTGGTATCCTCTCCCGTGCTTGTTACAGTTGGTATCCTCTCCCGTGCTTGTTACAGTTGGTATCCTCTCCCGTGCTTGTTACAGTTGGTATCCTCTCCCGTGCTTGTTACAGTTGGTATCCTCTCCCGTGCTTGTTACAGTTGGTATCCTCTCCCGTGCTTGTTACAGTTGGTATCCTCTCCCGTGCTTGTTACAGTTGGTATCCTCTCCCGTGCTTGTTACAGTTGGTATCCTCTCCCGTGCTTGTTACAGTTGGTATCCTCTCCCGTGCTTGTTACAGTTGGTATCCTCTCCCGTGCTTGTTACAGTTGGTATCCTCTCCCGTGCTTGTTACAGTTGGTATCCTCTCCCGTGCTTGTTACAGTTGGTATCCTCTCCCGTGCTTGTTACAGTTGGTATCCTCTCCCGTGCTTGTTACAGTTGGTATCCTCTCCCGTGCTTGTTACAGTTGGTATCCTCTCCCGTGCTTGTTACAGTTGGTATCCTCTCCCGTGCTTGTTACAGTTGGTATCCTCTCCCGTGCTTGTTACAGTTGGTATCCTCTCCCGTGCTTGTTACAGTTGGTATCCTCTCCCGTGCTTGTTACAGTTGGTATCCTCTCCCGTGCTTGTTACAGTTGGTATCCTCTCCCGTGCTTGTTACAGTTGGTATCCTCTCCCGTGCTTGTTACAGTTGGTATCCTCTCCCGTGCTTGTTACAGTTGGTATCCTCTCCCGTGCTTGTTACAGTTGGTATCCTCTCCCGTGCTTGTTACGGTTGGCAAATCAATTATATATACCGACACGCAAAAGAAACACAACCTCCAATTTTCGGTAATGTTTTTAATATTTCATTCAAAAGTTTTGTTTAAGTAACATAGCCAATTAAAGCTACACATCTATTGGATAGTTCAGTAAATTAAGCACTAGTGATAATCACAGCCAAGACTGAAGAGGGGGGTGGCCATTGGAATATTTCCGACTTCAAAAACAAGTATGAACCCCATTGGCATTTATTGCTGCTTGATTTCTGCGATACATAGAGTTGATAAGACTGTTTCATTGTGCCATAGGGATGTTCTGTCACTCTTCCCTTCACATATTGAACGCACGATTGAAGCTTCCTGGTATATTCCAATAAAGCTGTTTTGACAGCGTTGAACTTGTGACATCACAGATGTGAGCTGCCTATATCGAGTTGTTTGAGGTGTATTTTTCAAGTTAATCACAATATCTCAGAAGGCCAACACAATGTTCACACTTTTTTAGCCTTTTATTGTATAATATGAAGTATTTTCTACGTAATATATCATTCAGGGTACACTTAGTTGTAAGGTTGGAATCTGAATTGTCTCCATGTTATGACCCAATTGCAAGTCACCTGGAGTGGGGCTTGACCCAGAAGTTAATCATTGCAGCATGGCTATATCTGTGTGTTCAGCCATAGCAACTGTACAGGGTTTATTGGTGGGGATCTTAACCGCTTCTGTACAATGACTCGAGGACTAGTCCCCGAAGCATGAATATATTATCATATGCTAAACAATTGTATAGATAGTTATTGGCTGGCTAGGACCTTAATAATATACCATGTTATGACTTGGAGTCTAATTGAAGTCCACAGGGCTGGGTTCAGCACAGGAAGTAGATCTAAATAGCATGGTTGTACCTATATATGCTGAGTTAAAAAATATGTAGTTTAATAGTAGGGATTTTGGCCATTTCCCAGGTGGGGCTGGACCTTAGAGCCATGCAATCTTGGTATGATATGTGTGACGTATTGTTTTTTATTAAGCGTCTATGTGGTTATACAGTGGGGATGTGAACTCCACACCTCTAACCTCAGGGGTTACACAAACTTCTCTTGTTTATATTCTGTTTTTGGACCAAGGATGCTCCGGATCAAATTTAAATTAGTTAATATCTATAACCTCATACTGAAGGGTCATGATTTTCAAGATATATCTGTGGGTAAACCCTCCATTTATATAACAATGAGCTTCTTAGGCCCACTGATGCTCCAGTTTAAATTAGGTTAAAACCTCCTGTGTCCAGTACTAGTAAACAGTTGCCTATAATTCCCCGAGCTCTGCCCATCTGTCCCATCATTCATTTATACAACATTAAGTCCCCTTGGCCCCCTTTATATTTCAGACCAAATTAGGTCTTAATAACTTAACCCCTCCTCAAGGAGAAGGATTTTAAAGACTTGCCTATATTTTCCCTATACAGAACTCATGATCAGTCCCCTTGTCCTACAGATACTCCAGACAAACTGGTCAAAAATAGCTTGTCTAGCACTAAAGGAGTAGGATTTAAAGATTTACCTTGATTTCCCAAATTCAGCTCCATCATTCTGCCCTTTAGCTAAGGGACCCACACCCTTTGTTTATACCATGATGCATCAAATTTTCCAAAAGATGCTTCAGACCCCAAATGAAGTCAAAATCGCTGGAGTCGTTCTGCACTAGTAGCCTTTTAAATCAAAGGTTTGATACTGGATGGAAGACGAACATGGCACCTCGGCATAAGCTCATTTGGGCTTTTGTGGCCAGGTGATCAGTCAAAATTGAATACCAATATGCCAGAATTGAATACCATTCTGTTCATCATATAAAAACGTAAAAAAATGATACCGAGTATCTTAACTGTCTCTATATATAATATGCATGTCTCTACATCTCTACAACCGTTCCCTTCCCAATATAAATTAGATATACAACAGCTTTTAAGTACACGTGTGTAGGACGAGATATACTGACTTTGACATGTACAGGCTGATTAAGCAAATCAAACAACATTTGATGCTAAAGGAATGGCCTAACTTACCTGTGGTGAGGTCCCTGACAATGACACAGGGACAGGTATTAACTTACCTGTGGTGAGGTCCCTGACAACGACACAGGGACAGGTATTAACTTAACTGTGGTGAGGTCCGTGACAATGACGCAGGGACAGGTATTAACTTACCTTTGGTGAGGTCCCTGACAATGACACAGTGACAGGTATTAACTTACCTGTGGTTAGGTCCCTGACAATGACACAGGGACAGGAATTAACTTACCTGTGGTGAGGTCCCTGACAATGACACAGGGACAGGTATTGTGATTATCTGTTGTCCACCTGTAATAATAACACTGGGTTAAAAAGTAATCCTAATTCTAATCAGATTCCATAAAGTATACATTTCAAAAGCCTTCAAATATAGTTTACAAGACATCTTTTTTTCCATCAAGAAAATTGTCAACTCCTCTGTCAATTTCCATCGTATCTTGATATATACTGTACTGTACATTTCACTGAACACCGCTAATATCACTTCTTGGTTATTATAATGTTTTCTTGATGCACAATTTTTCTTGCTATATGTATATACCAATAAGCTATGTAATTCAATTCTGTTATTATCACTTGTTTTGTTGTGGTTTTCGTTTGATAGTAATTTATTTTGGCCACTTTACAAACAAGAGGCCGATGGGCCTTAATGGTCACCTGATATATTTATACAGAAAGTTGATTTTTGTTTTTAACATGGACAGAAATATTATTCAAAGTGACAAAAAACAATAAAACCACCTTATGCAATATCTAGCATACAGATTTAAGACTGAAAAGTATTTGAACCTAGCACCTCTGATTCTAAACAAGGAGAATGACGAATTTTAGTGCACTGACTCCTTTAATCTGGGCCCCACCCTACAGCCCTTTGGGTTAGGGCTGACTCAAAATGTTCAAAGTACCAAAATGTCAACTCAGGGTTTTAATTCCAATCAAGTTATTAACATTTAATATTCAAAGTATCATATGCCATTATAAACCATAATAAATTTTGAAATTTCAGTCAATTCAACCCTTTTTGGCCCCACCCATCAGCCCCTGGGAGTCAGTCAGGGCTGATATGCGCATACAATCAAACTGCTATCCAATACTGATAATGCTAACCCAAATTGAATTACTTCTAATGGGTCCCTATATAAACTATAGTACAGTTTACCCCCTCCCCAGGGGGAAACATGAGACCCCAGGGTCATGAAATTCACAATTTTGGTAGAACACCTTAAGACCCTTTCATCTATGAAGAGTGTTTGATTCTACCATATCTTGGTCTTCTTCAGAAGATTTTTGAAATTTCAGTCAATTCGACCCTTTTTGGCCGCACCCATCAGCCCCTGGGGGTCAGTCAGCGCTGATATGTGCATACTATCAAACTGCTACCCAATACTGATAATGCTTACCTAAATTGAATGACTTCCAACGGAAATTAAACAAATGTTGGTCCAAAATGTGATTTCCCTATATAAACTATACTAAAGTTTACCCCCTCCCCAAGGGGAAACGTGAGACCCCAGGGTCAAGAAATTCACAATTTGGTTAAGCACCATAAGACTCTTCCATCTATAAAGAGTATTTGATTCTACCATATCTGGCTCTTGAGAAGAAGATTTTTGATTTTTTTGTCAATTTGACCCTTTTTGGCTTAGCCCCTCAGCCCCCTGGGGGCTAGGGATCAAATCAGCAACAACTTTTGTTGACCTTTGGCCATGGAAGGTTTCTGCAAAATTTCATTGAAATTGGTTCAGGGGTTTTGGAGAAGAAGTTGAAAATGTAAATTGTTGACGGACGACGATGGACAAAAGGCGATCGCAATAGGTCACTTGAGACTTTGTCTCAGGTGACCTTAAAAAACATAGGTAAATAATGGCGAGAATCCATGGTTTATGCTTCCGGGAAATTGGGTTGTTATGTAAACAACGCCAGGACCTACTGCTGTCTTTTTCACACATGGCTGGCTGCCGAACAATAGACATAACCTGCTGATTGTCAAATTAGTTGTCATATTAATTTGTGAACCTGATGCTTGTCATATGAACATTTTAATTGAATGTGGTTAGTATTCTCCCCCTATTATCCACCTACTATGCCACTAGTAGCCCTTATCCATCCTTTGCCTCTGAATTGCTGTTAAACTCACCCTCAGTCTGCTGTGTTGGGATAGAAAGACTTGTGGCAGGCTGCTGGAAGTTAAACACTGACCGGTCCTGCAGCGTGGCAGTGGTGGGAGCATACACAATACCCTGGGGTGTCTGGTACATTACTAACCCAGGGGTCAGGCCACTTGATGACTGCTGTGTTGTTGGTGTCATCCCTGTAAGTTAAACAATTCTGTGAATAGAGTTAGGACAAACCAACATGATATACAGTCTATTCCTGAGTAAACAATTTCTCTCTCAGTTTTTCACTTACAACGCACTTCACTGATACATGGATTTGTATGATATTCATATACATGTGTCAATAAATTTTTTTATCACATAATGTGCTGTGTCATCCAGTGAATATACCCATGTCGTATTTTTTTGCGGATTAACCCATGTAATATGATTTATCAGCCCTGTGATTGATTGTAAGTCTCAATTGTTTTAATTGTGACATCACGCCTAGGACAAGTACATGACGTCACAGACTTACACACTGGAGTCAAAAATTGCGATTTTTTTTTTACGTTTTAAGGTTGCATGAAAATTATCGTTTTACACGAATAAATGCCACAAATCTTAATTATGTGATAAAAAGGATCTTACACTTGTTTTCATTTCAGATGAAGTTGATGAAACTTGTCACAAATTTTTCAGTTAGCTCGCCAGAGGCTCGCTTAATTAAAAAATTCTTAAGACTCGTTTCATAAATCTCATCTGAAATGGCAACTCATGTAAGATCCTATATGTATGTATTTGCAGCTATAGAATATGTTAAAACTTAACTGATGTTCAGTTTCTCAGCATCATATATGTAGCGGAACTGGACAGGGTACTGGTGACCAGGTAGTATCAATTGGTACAACAGTATAAATGAGGTGTTTACAAAGAATTTAACAATTCAATACAAACTCCAGCAAACTGACAAATCTAATGGACCATTAACTTCTGTAAAAATGCTAAGAAAATGTCAGACTGATGAAAAAGAAACAAAAATATTTGGAATACCCGAACATATTATATAATTAAGACACATTGTATAGATAATATATGTAACTGATATATTTTTCTATCTCACTTGCTTATATAGAAAGAAAGAAATCTACAAAAGTTTGGAAACAAAAAACATAATCCTGAAGTATTATATAACAAAATACCAAACTAACTGAAAAAGCCCAGCAGGCATTATATTTAGAACACAAAGACAAAATATGTTATTTACAGTTTTTTCACACAATTTCATAACAATAACATAGTCAATATATCTTTTTTTTGTATTTTTTGTACATTGTTATCTGATTGCTATGACAAAAGTATCAATGGTGAAACAATAGGAAAGAAAATATTGTCGTGTGAATGTTTAATGTTATTAACATGATAGTGGTGTGGAGATTGACGTGTGGAGATAGTGGTGTGGAGATAGTAGTGTGGAGACAGTGGTGTGGAGATAGTGGTGTGTGGAGATTGACGTGTGGAGTGATTGCTATGACAAAAGTATCACTGGTGAAACAATAGGAAAGAAAATATTGTCGTGTGAATGTTTAATGTTATTACCATGATAGTGGTGTGGAGATAGTGGTTTGAAGATTGACGTGTGGAGATCGTGGTGTGGAGATTGACGTGGCAAGATAGTGGTGTGGAGATTGATGTGTGAGATTGACGTGTGGAGATAGTGTTGTTGAGATTGACGTGGCGAGATAGTGGTGTGGAGATTGATGTGCGGTGAGAGAGGTGTGGAGATTGAGGTGTGGAGATAGGGGTGTGGAGATTGACGTGTGGGGATAGTGGGGTGGAGATTGACGTGTGGAGATCGAGGTGTGGAGATAGACGTGTGGAGATAGAGGTGTGGAGATAGACGTGTGGAGATAGAGGTGTGGAGATAGACGTGTGGAGATAGAGGTGTGGAGATAGACGTGTGGAGATAGAGGTGTGGAGATTGACTGATGGAGATAGTGGTGTGGAGATGGACGTGTGGAGATAGTGGTGTAGAGATAGCGGTGTGGAGATTGACATGTGGAGATAGTGGGGTGGAGATTGATGTGTGAAGATAGTGGGGTGGAGATTGATGTGTGAAGATAGTGGGGTGGAGATTGATGTGTGAAGATAGTGGGGTGGAGATTGATGTGTGAAGATAGTGGTGTGGAGATTGAAGAGTGGAGATAGTAGTGTGGAGATTGAAGTGTGGAGATAGAGGTGTGGAGATTGATGTGTGGGGATAGTGGTGTGGAGATTGACTTTTGGAGATAGTTCTGTGGAGATTGACGTGGCGAGATAATGGTGTGGAGATTGACGTGTGTAGATAGTGGTGTGGAGAGTGACGTGTGGAGATAGTGGTGTAGAGATAGTGGTGTGGAGATTGAGGCGTGGAGATAGTGGTGTGGAGATCGTGGTGTGGAGATTGACGTGGCTAGATAGTGGTGTGGAGATAGTTGTGTGAAGATTGACGTGTGGAGATAGTGGCGTGGAGATTGACGTGGCGAGATAGTGGTGTGGAGATAGAGGTGTGGAGATTGACTGATGGAGATAGTGGTGTGGAGATTCACGTGTGGAGATAGTGGTGTGAAGATTGACGTGGCGAGATAGTGGTGTGGAGATAGACGTGTGGAGATAGAGGTGTGGAGATTGACGTGTGGTGATAGCGGTGTGGAGATTGACGTGTGGTGATAGCGGTGTGGAGATTGACGTGGGGAGATAGTGGTGTGGAGATTCACGTGTGGAGATAGTGGTGTGAATATTGACGTGTGGAGATAGTGGTGTAGAGATAGGGGGGTGGAGATTGAAGTGTGGAGATAGTGGTGTGGAGATAGTGGTGTGGAGATTGACATGTGGAGATAGTGGTGTAGAGATAGTGGTGTGGAGATTGAAGTGTGGAGATAGTAGTGTGGAGATTGTAGTGTGGAGATAGTGGTGTGGACATTGACGTGTGGAGATAGTGGTGTGGAGGTTGACGTGTGGAGATAGTGGTGTGGAGGTTGACGTGTGGAGATAGTGGTGTGGAGAAAGAGGTGTGGAGATTGACATGTGGAGATAGTGGTGTGGAGATAGTGGGTGTGGAGATTGACGTGTGGAGATAGTGGTGTGGAGATGGACGTGTGGAGATAGTGGTGTGGAGATAGTGGTGTGTGGAGATTGACGTGTGGAGATAGTGGTGTGGAGATTGATGTGTGGAGATAGTGGGGTGGAGATTGACGTGTGGAGATAGTGGTGTGGAGAAAGAGGTGTGGAGATTGACATGTGGAGATAGTGGTGTAGAGATAGTGGTGTGGAGATAGTGGTGTGGAGAGTGACGTGGCAAGATAGTGGTGTGGAGATTGACGTGTGGAGATGGTGGTGTGGAGATGGACGTGTGGAGATAGTGGTGTGGAGATAGTGGCGTGGAGATTGACGTGTGGAGATAGTGGTGTGGAGAAGGTGGTGTGGAGATTGACATGTGGAGATAGTGGTGTAGAGATAGTGGTGCGGAGAAAGTGGTGTGGAGATTGACGTGGCAAGATAGTGGTGTGGAGATTGACGTGTGGAGATAGTGGTGTGGAGAAAGTGGTGTGGAGATTGACATGTGGAGATAGTGGTGTAGAGATAGTGGTGTGGAGATAGTGGTGTGGAGATTGACGTGGCAAGATAGTGGTGTGGAGATTGAAGTGTGGAGATAGTAGTGTGGAGATTGTGGTGTGGAGATAGTGGTGTGGAGATTGACGTGGCAAGATAGTGGTGTGGAGATTGATGTGTGGAGATAGTGGGGTGGGGATTGACGTGTGGAGATAGTGGTGTGGAGAAAGTGGTGTGGAGATTGAAGTGTGGAGATAGTGGTGTGGAGATTGACGTGTGGAGATTGACGTGTGGAGATAGTGGTGTGGAGATAGCAGTGTGGAGATTGACGTGTGGAGATAGTGGTGTGGAGATTGACGTGTGGAGATAGTGGTGTGAAGATAGTGGTGTGGAGAACATGTGGTATTTGCAATGTTTTGTATATTTATACATTAAAGGAGGAATCACAGGGCTAGCCTCAACTCTGGCCTCCCTTACTGAGGGAATCAATTCTAAAAGAGAAAAAACATTGTAAAACAAGTGAACTCTTGGCTAGCATAAGTTGAATTGATCAATGATAGTGTGTAAGTGTGGGTGCCGTGTGAACAGCGACAAAATATTATAACATACCGGGAAAACTGGAGCATGAAGTAACCTTGCTGCTACTTGTCAGTTTATGAGACTGACAGGCGCTGTCAGATTTAGTGGACAATGAAATGTTGGTTTCTCGACGTGTTGTACATTTTTGCCATTTCGTCACTGACTTGTAATACTGTACTTATTTCTCTACCCACACTAAAATTTAATAATATGTCTTTCAGAAGAATAGATATTTATACTCAATATTCCAATCTTTCCAACTTCAGAATCTTTCTCCACATTTTCGTTTCCCGGTACATTATAATCTCTTCGTTGTTCGGACACACACAGTATCATTGGTCAGTGATGCAGTTGTTGCCTGCCTTCAGCTAATTTTGCTAGCCGAGGGTTTAATGTTTTTGAAATAGTAGTAATGTCCTATTATAGTTATATTTTGTTTTTATGTAAGTGTTCTGTGTATCTTTGTCTCTATATAGATGTTCTGTGTATCTATGTCTCTATATAGATGTTCTGTGTATCTTTGTCTCTACATAGATGTTCTGTGTATCCTTGTGTCTACATAGATGTTCTGTGTATCTTTGTCTCTATATAGATGTTCTGTGTATCTATGTCTCTATATAGATGTTCTGTGTATCTTTGTCTCTATATAGACGTTCTGTGTATCTTTGTCTCTACATAGATGTTCTGTGTATCCTTGTCTCTATATAGATGTTCTGTGTATCTTTGTCGCTATATAGATGTTCTGTGTATCTTTGTCTCTATATAGATGTGCTGTGTATCTTTGTCTCTATATAGATGTTCTGTGTATCTATGTCTCTACATAGATGTTCTGTGTATCTTTGTCTCTATATAGACGTTCTGTGTATCTTTGTCTCTACATAGATGTTCTGTGTATCCTTGTCTCTATATAGATGTTCTGTGTATCTTTGTCTCTGCATAGATGTTCTGTGTATCCTTGTCTCTATATAGATGTTCTGTGTATCTTTGTCGCTATATAGATGTTCTGTGTATCTTTGTCTCTATATAGATGTTCTGTGTATCTTTGTCGCTATATAGATGTTCTGTGTATCTTTGTCTCTATATAGACGTTCTGTGTATCTTTGTCTCTACATAGATGTTCTGTGTATCCTTGTGTCTACATAGATGTTCTGTGTATCTTTGTCTCTATATAGACGTTCTGTGTATCTTTGTCTCTACATAGATGTTCTGTGTATCCTTGTGTCTACATAGATGTTCTGTGTATCTTTGTCTCTACATAGATGTTCTGTGTATCCTTGTGTCTACATAGATGTTCTGTGTATCTTTGTCTCTATATAGACGTTCTGTGTATCTTTGTCTCTACATAGATGTTCTGTGTATCCTTGTCTCTACATAGATGTTCTGTGTATCTTAGTCTCTACATAGATGTTCTGTGTATCTTTGTCTCTACATAGATGTTCTGTGTATCCTTGTGTCTACATAGATGTTCTGTGTATCTTTGTCTCTATATAGATGTGCTGTGTATCTTTGTCTCTATATAGATGTTCTGTGTATCTATGTCTCTACATAGATGTTCTGTGTATCTTTGTCTCTATATAGATAAGAGGATTGTTCCAAAAATTTGACAACCTCATATTGTTTACAGTTGGAAAAACTTCCTGGTCCCTTATATATCTAGTGTGTCTATAAATGCGGTATGTTAATCCAATACATTTTTAGAAATACAAAGTACTCTGTATATATGAATGGGGTACTGACTGTTTACTTCCCTTTGTCTGTAGTGTGTAATATAATTAAATGTCTCACAGGGATTTTTTTATTATTTCATATAAAAAGGTTGTATTTTCGAATCCCTTTATAATTCAAACATTCTGCATGAGAAATGGCGACAGTATAACAAGGTTTTCTTGTACATACATGTACCTTGTGTGGATGCACTGCCTGTGATTGTTGGAAGTCCGCTATTCTGTCCTGCGTCTGACGCTAATATATCAAACTGACCCAATGAATTATCTGTAATGAAATACAAAATTACTGACCAATATGGAAAATGCAATATAACTTACTGGTATGTTGAATGACCAGTTAATAAAATTTGTCCAGTAAAATCATATTACATATAGATAAGGCTTCTGCTAGTGCTGATGATGAACACTGATTATCACTGTCTGATTTAGTCAAATGATGATGTTTTTATACTGAACAATGATTATCACTGTCTGATTTAGTCAAATTATTAAGGTTTTATACTGAACAATGATTATCACTGTCTGATTTAGTCAAAGGATGCTGTTTTATCAATGACTGAAGACTGATGATCAATGCTTGGTGAATCCCCTTGTCCGGTGACACTCACTTGGTATGGTGACAAGCTGGTTTGTGTTGGGGATACGATAAACTGTTTGTGTTGTCTGTTGAGCTGCTGAAGTGAGTTGTCCATTTTGTTGAAGAGGAATCAATGGCGTACCTAAATAAAAATGAAAAACATGACAAATGGACATACCTGTTAATATATACATTATCTAACAGTGTCTCCAGTTAAACCAGATATATTTCACAAGTCTGTTTAATATTTTGATATATTTCTCAAGTCGGGTTAATAATTTAATATATTTCAACAGTGCACAGCACAAATAAAAAAAAAATAACATTGCAATATTTAACAAGACATATGATAAAATGATAAATTACTTATATTTACAACAAATTAAAATGTAAAATAAGTTTATTTTGAGTTATTGAGAAAAGATGACATATTTACGTACAGGAATTAAAACTGACCTGGGTAAGAGGAACATTAGGCCCTACCTGGAAGTAATACAGCCCTTGGGGTCACAGACGAGAGTATTTGGACCACAGATACTGCACATAAATGTACTACTAAAACTATGCTCTGGCTTAGGAGTGTAAGGTTTTACCAGGAGGGACTAAGACTGCCCCTGGGGGGAGGCCTGATACCTGCATGGTAGCTGCCTTGTTGGATGTGGTGTAGGAGGTGTATGTAGCCTGAGTGGCTCTGGCTTAGGAGCGTGAGGTTTTTACCTGGAGGGACTAAGACTGCCCCGGGGGGAGGCCTGACAGCTGCATGGTAGCTGCCTTGTTGGGGGTGGTGTAGGAGGTGTATGTAGCCTGAGTGGCTCTGACTTAGGAGCGTGAGGTTTTTACCTGGAGGGACTAAGACTGCCCCTGGGGGAGGCCTGACAGCTGCATGGTAGCTGCCTTGTTGGGGGTGGTGGAGGAGGTGTATGTAGCCCGAGTGGCTCTGACTTAGTATTTGGACCACAGATACTGCACATAAATGTACTACTAAAACTATGCTCTGGCTTAGGAGTGTAAGGTTTTACCAGGAGGGACTAATACTGCCCCTGGGGGGAGGCCTGATACCTGCAAGGTAGCTGCCTTGTTCGGTGTGGTGTATGAGGTATATGTAGCCTGAGTGGCTCTGACTTAGGAGCGTGAGGTTTTTACCTGGAGGGACTAAGCCTGCCCCTGGGGGAGGCCTGACAGCTGCATGGTAGCTGCCTTGTTGGGGGTGGTGTAGGAGGTGTATGTAGCCCGAGTGGCTCTGCCTTAGGAGCGTGAGGATTTACCTGGAGGGACTAAGACTGCCCCTGGGGGGAGGCCTGGCAGCTGCATGGTAGCTGCTTTGTTGGGTGTGGTGTAGGAGGTATATGTAGCCCGAGTGGCTCTGACTTAGGAGCGTAAGGGTTTACCAGGAGGGACTAAGACTGCCCCTGGGGGAGGCCTGATACCTGCATGGTAGCTGCCTTGTTGGATGTGGTGTAGGAGGTGTATGTAGCCTGAGTGGCTCTGGCTTAGGAGCGTATGGTTTTACCACGAGGGACTAAGACTGCCCCTGGGGGGAGGCCTGACACCTGCATGGTAGCTGCCTTGTTGGGGGTGGTGTAGGAGGTGTATGTAGCCCGAGTGGCTCTGACTTAGTATTTGGACCACAGATACTGCACATAAATGTACTACTAAAACTATGCTCTGGCTTAGGAGTGTAAGGTTTTACCAGGAGGGACTAATACTGCCCCTGGGGGGAGGCCTGATACCTGCATGGTAGCTGCCTTGTTGGATGTGGTGTAGGAGGTGTATGTAGCCTGAGTGGCTCTGGCTTAGGAGCGTATGGTTTTACCACGAGGGACTAAGACTGCCCCTGGGGGGAGGCCTGACACCTGCATGGTAGCTGCCTTGTTGGGGGTGGTGTAGGAGGTGTATGTAGCCTGAGTGGCTCTGGCTTAGGAGCGTGAGGTTTTTACCTGGAGGGACTAAGACTGCCCCGGGGGGAGGCCTGACAGCTGCATGGTAGCTGCCTTGTTGGGGGTGGTGGAGGAGGTGTATGTAGCCCGAGTGGCTCTGACTTAGGAGCGTAAGGGTTTACCAGGAGGGACTAAGACTGCCCCTGGAGGGAGGCCTGATACCTGCATGGTAGCTGCCTTGTTGGGTGTGGGGTAGGAGGTGTATGTAGCCTGAGTGGCTCTGACTTAGGAGCGTGAGGTTTTTACCTGGAGGGACTAAGACTGCCCCTGGGGGGGGGCCTGGCAGCTGCATGGTAGCTGCTTTGTTGGGTGTGGTGGAGGAGGTATATGTAGCCTGAGTGGCTCTGACTTAGGAGCGTGAGGTTTTTACCTGGAGGGACTAAGCCTGCCCCTGGGGGAGGCCTGACAGCTGCATGGTAGCTGCCTTGTTGGGGGTGGTGTAGGAGGTGTATGTAGCCCGAGTGGCTCTGACTTAGGAGCGTAAGGGTTTACCAGGAGGGACTAAGACTGCCCCTGGGGGAGGCCTGATACCTGCATGGTAGCTGCCTTGTTGGATGTGGTGTAGGAGGTGTATGTAGCCTGAGTGGCTCTGACTTAGGAGCGTGAGGTTTTTACCTGGAGGGACTAAGACTGCCCCGGGGGGAGGCCTGACAGCTGCATGGTAGCTGCCTTGTTGGGGGTGGTGTAGGAGGTGTATGTAGCCCGAGTGGCTCTGCCTTAGGAGCGTGAGGATTTACCTGGAGGGACTAAGACTGCCCCTGGGGGGAGGCCTGATACCTGCAAGGTAGCTGCCTTGTTCGGTGTGGTGTATGAGGTATATGTAGCCTGAGTGGCTCTGACTTAGGAGCGTGATGTTTTACCAGGAGGGACTAAGACTGCCCCTGGGGGGAGGCCTGACACCTGCATGGTAGCTGCCTTTTTGGGTGTGGTGTAGGAGGTATATGTAGCCTGAGTGGCTCTGACTTAGGAGCGTAAGGGTTTACCAGGAGGGACTAAGACTGCCCCTGGGGGGGGGCCTGACAGCTGCATGGTAGCTGCCTTGTTGGGGGTGGTGTAGGAGGGATATGTAGCCCGAGTGGCTCTGACTTAGGACCGTGAGGTTTTACCTGGGGGGACTAAGACTGCCCCTGGGGGGGGGCCTGACACCTGCATGGTAGCTGTCTTTTTGGGTGTGGTGTAGGAGGGATATGTAGCCCGAGTGGCTCTGACTTAGGACCGTGAGGTTTTACCTGGGGGGACTAAGACTGCCCCTGGGGGGAGGCCTGATACCTGCAAGGTAGCTGCCTTGTTGGGTGTGGTGTAGGAGGTGTATGTAGTCTGGGTGGCTGGTGTTGTGGACCCAGGCTGTTGTTGGAGAAAGGAGGAGGCAGGAACAGAGGGTGGGGAGCTGCTCAGGACCATCCCTTGACTTTGAGAGGACTGGATCAGTCCAGGCTCCGGCATCCCTGGGGGTAGGGTTCCCACTGCCAGCACTGGTTTAATGGCACTGTCCAGCTGTAACGAAACAAAAAAACATGTAAATTCATCTGATCTAGTTGACAAAAGTTTCCCGGAACCATCATATTTCATTCCTTCATCTGTATTCTGTAAACAGTATATACTCATGCCTGTAACTCAATACCTATTTATTGTAGCACCATCATTGTTGAAATTTTGATACCATATTATGATGTCCCAATGTATCATGTATTGTGTTGTGTTGTTGTCCTGCCAATTAAGGGAATTACTGCGGAGAATCTCTTTATTTTTCTATTGTAAAGTTGCCGGAAGAGCCCAATGATGGCTGAACGTTAGTTGTCTTATTCAGGCTTGTTTGTTAATTATAGATAGTAAGAAAGTTGTACCCATGATGAAAATGTTTAATTAAACAATATATAACACTGTGACTACTTAGCAATGTATATGGAATGTGTTCTTTTGTCCTTGTGGCGTTACACCACATACAGCAGCACCTGATGGATGTGTCGGGATGTCCTTGCAGCGTTGGGAGGGGGTTTACTATGGCTCAATGACTTGTGCTGTACATGTGTACCTACTTTCAGTATAGGTTTTACTTACCTACCTACACTGTACATTGTAGGTATTGTAATCTACCGATTCAATCTCGTTTTTCATTTATAGGCTGGATTTGTGAGACTTTTCTCAACGGTAAGTAAATATAAATACAATATATATACATTTGTTTATACATGTCTAGATCTAGTCCCCTACAGTAAAATCCAATGTGACATCTGATGATCTGTATCAGTAGTGCTTTTTACTTGAAGGTGTAATATATATATATCCTTTATTGGAACAATGATTCCCCAAACTAATAGCTATATAGAATGGGAGATTACTCTACTCCCCAACATATTTGTATATACATTATTTGTATATTGATCTCCCAAACATATTTGTATATACATTATTTGTATATTGATCTCCCAAACATTGGGGTATATACATTATTTGTATATTGATCTCCCAAACATTGGAGTATACACATTATTTGTATATTGATCTCCCAAACATTGGAGGATATACATTATTTGTACATGGATCTCCCAAACATTGGAGTATATACATTATTTGTATATTGATCTCCCAAACATTGGGCTATATACATTATTTGTATATTTATCTCCCAAACATTGGGGTATATCCATTATTTGTATATTGATCTCCCAAACATTGGAGTATATACATTATTTGTACATGGATCTCCCAAACATTGGAGTATACACATTATTTGTATATTGATCTCCCAAACATTGGAGTATATACATTATTTGGATATTGATCTCCCAAACATTGGGGGATATATATTATTTTTATATTTATTTTCCAAACATTGGGGTATATACATTATTTGTATATTGATCTCCCAAACGTTGGGGTATATACATTATTTGTACATGGATCTCCCAAACATTGGGGTATATACATTATTTGTATATTGATCTCCCAAACATTGGGGTATAGACATTATTTGTATATTGATCTCCCAAACATTGGAGTATATACATTATTTGTATATGGATCTCCCAAACATTGGGGTATACACAGTATTTGTATATTGATCTCCCAAACATTGGAGTATATACATTATTTGTATATTGATCTCCCAAACGTTGGTGGATATACATTATTTGTACATGGATCTCCCAAACATTGGGGTATCTACTTTATTTGTATATTGATCTCCCAAACATTGGAGTATACACATTATTTGTATATTGATCTCGCAAACATTGGAGTATATACATTATTTGTATATGGATCTCCCAAACATTGGGGTATATACATTATTTGAATATTGATCTCCCAAACGTTGGGGTATATACATTATTTGTACATGGATCTCCCAAACATTGGAGTATACACATTATTTGTATATTGATCTCGCAAACATTGGAGTATATACATTATTTGTATATGGATCTCCCAAACATTGGGGTATACACAGTATTTGTATATTGATCTCCCAAACATTGGAGTATACACATTATTTGTATATTGATCTCCCAAACATTGGGGTATATACAGTATTTGTATATTGATCTCCCAAACGTTGGGGTATATATATTATTTGTACATGGATCTCCCAAACATTGGAGTATACACATTATTTGTATATTGATCTCGCAAACATTGGAGTATATACATTATTTGTATATGGATCTCCCAAACATTGGGGTATACACAGTATTTGTATATTGATCTCCCAAACATTGGAGTATATACATTATTTGTATATGGATCTCCCAAACATTGGGGTATACACAGTATTTGTATATTGATCTCCCAAACATTGGAGTATATACATTATGTGTATATTGATCTCCCAAACATTGGAGTATACACATTATTTGTATATTGATCTCCCAAACATTGGGGTATAGACATTATTTGTATATTGATCTCCCAAACATTGAGGGATATACATTATTTGTATATTGATCTCCCAAACATTGAGGTATATGTATACATTATTTGAACATTGATCACCTAACCTTTGGCTAAAAATATATATTATTTGTATATATAAACAATATTTGTATATTGATCTTTCATTATGCATCCTTAAACAGTAAGCATTTTGATCTAAAATCAAAATTATACTAGGATGATGAAGCTTGGCATAATGATAATAACTGCTGATACACCTGGAATCTCAGCATGGTTAATTATATTTGAAAGTATAAATAAGGCCTAACAAAACCCTTTTTTTCTGGAACAAGTTTGAAAAAATTGGAGTTGTAAGGTAATAAATTTCATTTGTTTTACAAGGTTTATATACATATTATGTAGTAGAGAGATGTTGCCCAAAAAAGTTAAAGGTTTGCAAAAATATTTAAAGCAGATAGGGTACGTAACAGGAAACAAAGAACCTTTTTTGCCCTTACTATATATTCAATAAATATCAGTCATAGTGATTGATGAGTGTTGGGAAGTTTAAGTTGACAGGAGGATAAGTTTAATTTGTATGCAGTAAAGTAAACGATGAACCACATACAGAAAGGAGATGTTGTTAATGTAAGACTTTACTCCCCCCATATTTACATAACCCTGTCAGAGGTGAAGCTTTAGGGAAATCTACAGTACACATGGCTAGCTGGCCATGGTCACACTGGACTGCAGGGGGTACATGGACTTTCACAGTATAGGGAAATCTACAGTACACATGGCCTGGCCATGGTCACACTGGACTGCAGGGGGTGCATGGACATTCACAGTATAGGGAAATCTACAGTACACATGGCTAGCTGGCCATGGTCACACTGGACTGCAGGGGGTACATGGACATTCACAGTATAGGGCTCACCAGCTGTGATGTATACTACAGATATATATTTATTATACAAGGCAGGTTAAAAATTATCTTTACAGTGACAAATGGCAAGCTAAGGTTCACATTGAAAGTATATAGATTTGTTAGGTTATCAGATAAACAAGTAGCTTCATTTATAAGGCAGTTTTTATTTGCTAGTTTCCAACTACAGACTAGAGCTTTCAAATAAATTCAAATTAACCATTTTTTTGATACAAGAAACTTTCAAATAAACAGAAAATTAAGGATGTTGGATCAGCAATTTTGTGGTTAGGGTGAAAACGTACATTTCATAATTATAGTTGGTTTGACTGAATAGCTACTGTTTGATGCTATATATGTTTGAATCCTTATTAAAGCTGAAGTGATTTGTAACATATACAGTAGATGTAATTGTAAACCTGATCTTGAAAATGAAGGACAGATTACCAAGATTATATAATATCTTATCACTGGAGGCATCTTTTATATAAAAATTTAAACAACAACCTTCAAATAAAATCTCATAACCTTTTTAATACATTGATCCTATTATCAACCCATGCATATTTACACTTTGATCAACACAACAAAACCTTTTACCTTAAATCCAATATTCTTAACAAAGTTTTATCTTGGAACCTTTTAATGTTAATAACAGTTTACAACCACTTCAGTATTGATAATACATCATCCCCATCAATTTCTATATAAAACTATGTAGCTACTAGTATAGAAAGGATGACATGTACAATCTAATGGTATTAAGGGTGCACTAAATCATCCACACAGTCCCAGCTTTATAGGTCCCCCTTTCCAACTGTGTGTATATATATATACATCCCCCTCCCCATATATTTCGCAGGGCTGGTAATTAAAGCATAGAATCCCCAGAGCTATCTCTCTCAAGTGTCAGGTCTCAGAATTCTCCCCCATGCTGCAGCCAGAAAGGAGTAATGACTTATATATATTCTTGAGATGAATCACTAGGCTGGAATTGGGAATATATACAAATAGTATGGTACTCCTAACTCTGACAGAACAAGTGCTAGCCATCTCCTAGTTCCTGTTCCTCCTTGCTGGCTCCAGCAGCTGTAAGCAGGACTATCTCACCATCTTATCTCTCTATATAACAACACATGGGCAAAATATGCCAATAAGGGCACACAGCCAAATTTGTGGGACACACATATTCACCCAGCATTTTCTCAAAGTTGGGAAAATTTTGCAAACTGCACATATGCACACTATATTTAGATGTACATGCAAAATGCATGTTATGTACTTGCATTTAAACTAGCATTTTATATTCTAATTTTACATGGAGTGTAAATATAATTGTACCTATTATCTTCTTTGTTTCCTAATTTAATTACAAGATTTATTTGCATTGCTATTATTTCTTACTTTATCAGCAATGGTTATATAATTTAATCATCATGTATCAATCGTTAATTATTTATCACAAAGTAATTTTTATTTTTTTTCAGTGAAATTGGACAGCGATATAGAAATATTTCAATAATTTGATAAAATCCTGAAAATTTGCACATGGGATCCCCACAAGTGTGCATTAAATCCATGTGTAAATCAGCAAACCCCTTTATGGACCTCACATCCCTAATGTGTATTACACTATCCCTTATGGTGCCCCAAATACCAAATGGGTAGCTCGGGCAACCCTGTGGAAGGCCCCAAATACCAAATGTGTAGCTCGGGAAACCCTGTGGAAGGCCCCAAATACCAAATGTGTAGCTCGGGAAACCCTGTGGAAGGCCCCAAATACCAAATGTGTGTAGTTGCTCCTCCAGAAAGTTAGTAGGGAAGGGAGGAAGAATCTAGGGAAGGGGATGTTGACTCTAACATGGACTTCATCCAATTATAGCCCCAGATAAACACATCTCCAGTTACAAAAGTTATACACTGATGGGGTTGGAGCTGGCACGGCTTGCACACATATTTGGTAATGAATGCCATATATATGTGTGTGGGTGCCCATGGTGATGTGTCTGACTGCTCCCCCTCCCCTCTGAGCTCAGCCCCTGATTATGGTACTAGTTCCCTGATCTCTAACAGATGCCTTTCCACTTATATCAGTCATTACAGAACAAAATGGAACAATTTTCCCCATAATTTACCATAGGAGTACAGGTATCATACTTTAGATATCAATGTATATATATGTATTCAGTATTTTCTGTAAATACATGTATAGAGATCTACAAAAGCTCATATTAGTTTGCCACATAAAATCATTATCGACACATGTATACGATGATCAAATATTTATACATCTGATTATATTTACTGCATAACTGGTAGTTTGCTTAGCGGTGTAACAACTGCACACTTCTGA